TTAACTAAATAAAATAATTTGTAGAGAATTGTCATACACAGTACACTATTCAAAACAACTCAGTTTTTCTTTTATGATAGGAAAGTAACTTTAAAATAATACTGTGTGCCTGAGATGATTTGAAAACAGATAGTCATTGTGCTTTCAGGGACAGAGGTGTTTTTTAAAGCAACAAAGATAACTGGTTGATAGAGTCCTATACACACGGTAGTTTTCATTTGGTTGCCTATGGTACAATTACTTACTTTTTATTGTTTCGATGGATATTTAAGGTCAGACACTAACAAGAGAGCATCCATGAGCATACTCTACTGTCTTTACATCTGTGTATTCCACATAACTGTGAGGGTATTGTCATTCCTATGAGCATTGATGCCAGTTACAAGCAATAATTTTTTTGTTTTTTGTTCAAAGATCTGAAGTTTTAGGATCTATATATATATATATATATATATATATATATATATATATATGAGAACTTGTTTGTTTGTTTGTTTGTTTGTTTTTTGGACAGTCCTGGGTGAGGCTGTATCTTTAGAAGTCAAAGAAGTCAGCCTTGTTTATTGTGCAGTTTTCTCAAGAAACCTATAATGAGTTCCACATGCTGGTGCTGACATGTGGGCAACCCAACTGGCTACTTGACTGATAGTCCTTTTGCTTATAGTATCTAGAGCATCAAGGGAATGTCCACCAGTTAACAAGGATATCAAAGTGCTCCATCCTTCCACATATTTGCTTATTTAGAGGAAAATGAACAATATGTATGATAAGAATCTAAATAACTAACCTGAATATAAAATGGCTGAAAGACACATAAGAAAGTGATCAACATACTTAGCCATCAGGGAAATGAAAATCAAAACAACTCTGAGATACCATCTTACTCCTGTCAGAATGGCCAAAATCAAAAATACCTATGACAGTTTATGCTGGAGAGGATGTGGAGAAAGGGGACCACTTCTCCACTGCTGGTGGGAGTGCCAACTTGTACAAACACTTTGGAAATCAGTATGGCGATTCCTCAAGAAAATGGGAATCAGTCTATCACAAGATCCAGCAATTCCACTCTTAGGCATATACCCAAAAGAAGCACATTCATACAACAAGGACATCTGTTCAACGATGTTCATAGCAGCACTATTTGTAATAGCCAGAAACTGGAAGCAGCCAACATGCCCTTAAACCGAAGAATGAATAGACAAAATGTGGTACATTTAAACAATGGAGTACTACTCAGTGGAAAAAACAATGGAATCTTGAAATTTGCAGGAAAATGGATGGATCTAGAAGAAACCATTCTGAGCGAGGTAACCCAATCACAAAAAGACAAAAATGGCATGTACTCATAAATACCCTCCCCTGATTATGAGATTGACGACTGACTTATATGCCTTCATCCAGCAGCTGGTGGAAGTAGAAACAGACCCCCTGGAGAAGGGGAGAGGTTCAAGATCTGCTGAGCAAATTGGGAGCATCGGAAGATGGGAAAGGGAGCTAGGAGAATGAGAAGGGGAGAGGAAAAGGGATGCCAAGGACATGAGGGAGCAGGAAATATGAGTCAGGGGAAGAATACAAGATAACAATAATGGAGATATAATAATAGAAGGAGACATTTTTGGTTTACAGAGAAATCAGGCACTATGGAAATGTCTGGAAGCCCAGTATTTATCCCTAGCATAGGTGTGGACTTTGGGAGCCCAGTCCATATAGAGGAATACTCCCTGAGCCAAGACACACAGGGGTGGGCGTAGGCCCTAGCCCAAAAGAAATGAAAGACTCTGATGACACCCTATGGAAGGCATCACCATCCAGGGGGAGCAGAAAAGAAATGTGCCAGATAAGGTTTTAGTTGGGGGGGTGGGAAGGGAGGACGGGTGGGAGAAGGGAACTGGGATTGTCATGTAAAACAATCATGTTTCTCATTCAAATTTAAAAAGTTGGAAAAAAAAAGTAATTTTAAAGTATTTTAAACCTACTTTAGCAGCATCTCACTCCTGCCTAGAACCGCAGGGAGAAGCAGGATCCTCTCATCTTTCTCATGAATGTTTGGTTTTGGGAGAAGTTTTGGTGAAGAATGTCAGAATGGATTTTCAAACATATAATTATTATATATTGCAAGTGTGTCTCAATAAGCTGTAAAAGATAAGAGTGTTGGGAAGAAATAGTGAATAATATAAAATTAAAGGAAAGAAAACTGAGTCATTTAAGCAAAATAAAGACAAAACATTACACACTGGATTATTTAATTATAAAAGCATTTCTAGCGGATCACTTGGAGCACAAAACCAAGTTTCAGTGAACATCATCTGTGTTGTTTTTCCTTTAACATTCTAGAGAGCTGGGCTAATCAATACTACTGTTATTATTTCTGGATGTTTCTATCGTTATATAGTGTATGTTAAAGAGTAATCTCATAACAGGCCTTTGTAAACTGAGTGATGGCAGTAAGTCATATTGGTATTTAACCTTGAACATCAAATCTACAAAACCAAAGTTAGTGTGAAATATTTTAACTAAAGGACTTTTTATCATTAAATTTTTTACTTATTTTCATGTCACAATAATTGTAAAGATGTCTTTGTCAAACTGACTTCTTTGTTTGGTTATCACAATGCCAATACTATAGAAAAGTCTTAAACTATTTGATGTTTTTAGAGTGAATATTAAAAATAATGTTGTTGACTGTTCTGTTTCTTCCCTTCATGAGGGAAGGAATATCCCAAGTAGGATAGAGGTAATGACAATAAATTAATTCATACACTACATAGATTGTGTGCACTATAATAGGGCATTAAGAATGGGATGAGATTTTGGAAGAGTAATCCCTCAGGATCTTTCTAAACTGAAAAGAAAAGAATTAACACAGTCTGTCAAACTTTGTAGGAATATTCTTCAGTCTATTTATTGGTGTATGATGACATGTACAGATTTCCTCTCAGAGTGGGTGATTGTACAGGGGACATTAAAATGAAAAACAAAGGAAAAATCTAAACTGAAAAATTGTGTAATTAATATTGTCAACTTGAAATAAACCTAGAATCACCTAAGAGACAAGCCTATGGCCACACACGTGAGGGGGGAGCAAGTTAACTAAGGATGGAAGAACTGTCTTGAATGTGGGTGGCAATGTTCCATGAGTTGGTCCATAGACTGAATTACTCAAAATTTTCCCTCAGATCATCCCCAACAAAGGGTAACTCTGTGCCTTTGATTACTCCATAATGCATTACTATAAGGCCGAGTTTCTTTTTCTAGGACAGTTGGGAATGAGTACGTTAAGAAGACAAATATCTTAATTCTCTCTACTCAGATTGCTACTCTACTTTTGGCTTCTTCCATTTTTGTGGTTGAAATAATGCTAGTAATAGGTTCTACAATTTTTTACTTGTTTTTGTTTCTTTTTTTCCATGGAGTCTATTTAAATTGCATGGTTTACTCTGTTATGCTAATATAAACACTTTATTTCCACTGGATAACTTGATGATTTTACCTACACATGCACCATAGATTATCTTTTTAATAGCTACTTTCCACTTAATGAATGTGTATTTGTCCCCATCCTTTAAAGGTTAGTGAAATCATAATGAAAAAGAAAAAGTTGTTTGTGTTATTTAAAGAATGATGTATTAAAGAAAAATAATTTCTAGGTTATTAGTATTTAAAAATCTTCCACTCTGAGCATCAGGGGGAAGAAAGAGATGAATGGAAAGAGAAGAGTAGAGTTTTTGGGCAGTAAAAATATTCTGAATATATTATAAAAATGGTAATATATTAGTCAATGGTAATAGGCAGCAAACATCAAGAATGAACCCCAATGTGAATTGTGAGGTCTTTGTGATCACAGTGGGTCAGCATACAGCTGTTGCATAATAAATAAACCCTTCATTTGTAGATACATGCTAGAGGAAAGAATGCATCTGTGGGGTACAGAGGAAATATTGGAAAATATCTTTACATTCTATGATTTTTTGTCCCAAACCTAATACTGGTGTATAGAATAGAGTTTTCAAAAATTAAAATAACAATCAAATTTCCCCTAACATCTTAAAAGCATGGGAATTAATTTAAAAATAATTCTTTGATTTAAAAGAAACTTATGTAGGAAATTTGGAACCTCAGGAAAAAATGTCACTTGCTTTGTTTACTTGCGATTGTTATGCCAAATTTGAGAGACTCCAAATAGAACACCAAGGAGCCAACTCTCTGATGCAAAAGCAAAGGTTTCTTTAATAATTAATTAGTTAACTTTATTAACTTAGGTATTCCGTCCATCCAACACAGCAGGTAAAGCAAAAAGGACACTTAGGTATTGCTGGGCAAGGGATTTATAGGGGTAGAGCAAGGGGAGTGGCTGGGGTCCACAACAGTGTTGGGATTGGTACACTTCCGGGCTTAGGTGACCTGTCTTGTGTTGATTGGTCAATTGTTTGCTATGGCCTATAGGCCCTCCCATGGTGGCCGCTATGCTCTGTATGCCACTGTTACTATAAAGCATATCCAGAGACCTCCAGCTAACTTCTGATTGGTTCCTTACCACATGGAGGGTTCTGACCTCCTAGTGACTAGGAAGTTGGGCAAGGTCAGGAAGCTTAGCCCATGTTGCTGAGTCAGAGGCCTACATCTTGCTGGGTCTTTTCTGCAGTCTGTCATGGCTGCTAAAGCAAGAGGCTGGGTGAGGGTCTGGTCCCTTCACTGTCTCCTTTAAATTATGTATTTTTCAATATGTGTATATGTGTATGCTTGTGTATAGACATGTGCATGAGGCCACAAGACCAGTCATTGGATTCTTTTGAATCTAAACTTGGAGGCAGTTCTAAGCAACTTGATGTAGATGCTGGGAACTGAATTCAGATTCTCTTTGGGAGTATTTCATACTCTTAATCACTAAACCATCTCTCCAGTTCTCAATTGCTTCCTCTTTAGATGAGAATCTTGAAAGCTATATGTTCCATTCCTTGTAGTCCATGTTAACTAACATTTTTATTCTCCTTTTTCTTTAGGTCTGAAGTTCCAGGAAATTCAAGAAAGATTTGGTGAGGAATTCTTTAAGATATGCTTTGATGAGAATGAGAGAGTCCTTCGAGCTGTGGGTGGCACATTGCAGGACTTCTTCAATGGCTTTGATGCATTGTTGGAACACATTAGAACTTCTTTTGGGAAACAGGCCACTCTGGAGTCACCATCTTTCCTATGCAAAGAGCTTCCTGAAGGTACTCTCATGCTGCATTACTTCCATCCTCACCATACTGTGGGGTTTGCAATGCTGGGAATGATTAAGGCTGCAGGAAAAAGAATCTATCATTTGAATGTGGAAGTGGAGCAAATTGAAAATGAAAAGTTGTGCTCTGATGGTTCAAACCCAAGCAATTGCAACTGTATTTCTTTCCTTATCAAAGAATGCGAAACTCTTCACATCCCAAAGAATATTCCACAAGGTACTTCCCAAGTTCCTGCAGATCTCAGAATTAGCATCAACACCTTCTGCAGAGCCTTCCCATTCCATTTGATGTTTGACCCCACCATGGCGGTTCTTCAGCTGGGGGAGGGCCTAAGGAAGCAACTTCGATGTGACACTCACAAAGTGTTGAAGTTTGAAGACTGCTTTGAGATAGTCTCTCCAAAGGTTAATGCCACATTTGAAAGGGTCTTGCTGCGACTCTCCACCCCATTTGTGATAAGAACCAAGCCTGAAGCTTCTTGTACTGAGAATAAAGACAAGGTAAGTAGCCATAGATTCCAGATAAATGATGGGATCTAGTAGAATAGGTAATTATTTCAATAAATTACATGCTGGCTGTAGTTGTAATTATTTAGACAAGAGAGCTTCAGAAGATTTCCCATCTCTGGATGCATGTAGAAAGATTTGGCTGTATTCCCAGTCCTTTTACATAGTGTCTGCCTCATTTGTTAATTTATTTCAGCACATAAAAGAAAGAAACTTATTAATACCAGCCACAGAAATTACAAAATGATAGGACTCAATAAAATTCTAACATTATAAACCCTTGAATGTTTCCATGGAAAAGTCAGTTAGAGAAATCTTTAAGTAAACAAAGAGAATAGCCTGCTGTATTTTATTAGGATCTCTTAAATTTCACAGTCTTGGAACACTCCATTTATGCCATGTGTGTGTGCCAAAAGAAAGAAAAAAATGTATTCTCCCAATGTTGGATATGGACTAATTAAATTTTAGTGTTCAAATTTTAGACTATTCCTCTGGATTCTAAATGTAAGGATTCAGGCACTGTGCTGGCCTGCCCCTGTCACCTGAAAAAAAATCACTCAGGCAGTACCCTAGCAAGCCCAGGGTTCCATGGTTATGTAGTGTGCAGGCAGGTGCAAATGATCCCTTTAAAAGAAAGACCCTAACCACTTGTGTTCTTACCCTCTGTTCCCCTGGGGCAGACAGGATTTCTCCTGTCTCCCTCTTCTCTTCTCTCTGTCTCTGTGTCTCTGTGTCTTTATATCTTTCCCATTTCCTTTCCTCTCCACTTTCTAATAAAATTTCTCACTTAACTTTGTCTGCCTGGAATGTTTGTTCCCCACCTCAGTAACCATTTCCACCATGAAATCCACCAAGTTCTCCCACATGCTTTATCATAACAGTAAGTGGTTTGAGAAGCTGCTGATTTTTAGAATGAACGAGGAGAAAAATGGCAGAAAGAAAACCTGAATAAATTAATAATCTAACTGAACAACTCATGAAATAAAAATGGAAGGAAAGGATGTGACTGCTCCTATGTATGGCAGAGGGGAAAGTTTATTATAGATATGTGGGAGAGTATAAGCAGAATAGGGATTTCTGGGGGAGCCCAGAGTGGACATGACCACAGTGAGATAAGCCTTGGGGGGGGACAAAGGGGAAGAGAGGGAGAAAGAGTGGGATCTGGTGCAGCAGTCATGAGGTCATAGGTCCAAAAGATGGCAGATAACCTAAATGTGTGGATTATATAGGGAAGACCTCTCAGGGAAGGGTAGCATAGCCCTTGGGCTGGGGAGTTCAGGGTAGAGGGCATGGTATGTGGGCCATACTATGTAACAGGTAGGGATTTGAGGGATGCTGGGAAAAGTCATGCCAAGTCCAGCTTTGATTTGTTAAATATGCACTTCAGCCATTTGTCCTGGATTTGAAACTTAACACCATCCATATTATGAAGTGTCTTCAATGATAAGTGAAAGAAGAATGGCTTCAGGGAACCATAACTGATGGTCTATTAAAGAGATTTATAATTGATTAATTTTATAATCTTGGACTTTTAATAGAAGAATTTTAAAAAGACATTTGAGAACAATGTACATCTATTTCAATTTGCTAAATCAAGTGATCTAGACAATTCACCAGTAAAAATTTTGACATGCAAATCCAATGATTTAAAATCACTTGAGGGCAGACTTGGGTTCCCACATAGCACATTTCAACGCTTAATTTTAAAACTTACTTTTATTATTTGTCCTACTTGATCATATAAAGGAATTTTATTAATATTTTAAGATGTGTGTTATATGTTTCATAATCTCTGTACATTCTGAAACTGTTTCAGAATGGGAGAAACTTGTAAAATGTATATTTTTGCTACATTGGTAGCACTTTTTATTTATTTTGTTGTGTCTTTGAGGTAGAGTTCTCTGTGTAGTTGTGGTAGTCCTGGAGCTTGCTCTTTAGATCAAGCTGGCCTCACAGGAACAGAGATCTGCTTGCCCTTGTTGCCTGGGTGCTAGGATTAAAGGAGGGCCACCACCCAGCTGTAGTTGCTTTTTAAACCTATAATTATTCTAGCTTTTACATTTAGAGAATACTGAAACTGTCAGTTTTGTTTTGTACAACTTCAATATTTGGCTTGAGATTTTGAAGCATTTTTGGCCTTAAAATAAAAGCCAGCCTTTTTAAAATTGCCTGAATGAGATATTATTACATATGTTAATTTCTTTATATACCCTACAGATTTAAGGGGAAAAAACCCTGCAATTTAAGGTTACTGCTCATCCTTCTCCCAAATTTCACTGGGACTGACTGGGTTTCTATTTAATTTGTGTACTAAGATAAGAAATAGACATAATGAGATGATGACTCAAATGTCAGGGCCCCCTGCCAATTCCAATAATAAGGAACTGTGCTCATTGAGAGGATGCAATTATCATTTAAACATGTTGGCGATGGTTTAAAAATAATGTGATGGTGGGATTTTTACTTCGAATGAGATAATAATCTGTTCAACCTTATATTTACATTCTTGCTCATTCACTCATATTTGCCCTAATGAGGAATTTGTGACACTACACTTGTCTCCAGTTGAAAATTCCTCAGTTAATGGCATCTTGAACCATGAATAACTTTTTGAATTAGTATGTCACCCAATACCCTGTATACTTTTTTTCAAATATGCTAAGAAGAAAGAAAATCAGACCTCAAAATTATGGGATTTTCTTAAGTTTGACCTTGATATGAAGTATTTCCTCATAAAAGCTATCCTTGATACATGACCCCATGTACCTGGAGCCTCTGTTTCTTTATTCATGTTTAATAAGAAACTACTCTTCACACTATGCACTAGATAGTATTGAACCATCAACTGCTATTAAAAAGATGAGGCCAACAGTTAATCTTATGCCAATGATGGTAAACCATTTTTAAATTTAACTAAAATGCTTTGGATAAACCATGGTCTTTATCATTTTACATTCTTAGTCACAGGCTAAGTGTATGGCTGAGTTTTAAGATGCACATGGGTGATTTGATGAGACACAGTATGGACTTGATCCTCCCATGTGCATTATGGAACCGTAAGGGTAGCAACATTCCTGTTTTCATCTTTTTTTTAAAGCACAACATCCTTTTAATTATTTTCTTTGCTTATCATAGGTTGATCATTAAAAATAGGTAACATGATACCTTAGTCAGTGTGCTATGCTTATGAAGAGACACCATGACCATTGAAACTCTTATAAAGGAAAATATTTGATCAGATCTGGCTTACAGTTTCAGAAGTTTAGGACATTTTTGTCATGGCAGGGAACCATGTTGACATGATAGCAGACATGGTATTGGAGAACTACCTGAGATTTCTATAACTAGTTCCACGGGGAACAAAAAGAACAAAAGCTACTGGGACTGGCCTGGGCCTTGAATCTCAAAGCCTATTCCCCAGTAACACACTTCCTGTAACAAGACAGCATTTACTCCAACAAGGCCATACCTCTTATTCCCTCTTAAGTACTGCCACTTCCTGATCCCTAAGCCTTCAGAGATATGAACCTACTGAGGACAATTCTATTTATATCACTACATTCTGTTCCCTGGCCCCCATAGACTTATACCTATATCATTTTGAAAAAAATACATTTAGTCCAAATTTGAAAGTCCAAAATCTATTATAGTCCAACACTTAAAAGTCCAAAATACGGTCTCTTATGAGATTCAAGACAGCCTCATACTATCATCACCCATAAAATCAGAATCAAAACACAGATCACAGACTTCCAATATACAGTGGCACAGAATATACATTACCATACTAAAATGGAGGAAAGAGAACATAGTAAGAAAAGGCTGGACCAAAAATCCCTTGAAATCAGTGGAGCAAACTCCAACCACCACATCTATATGTCTGATGCCAAAGTGCTCTTCAAGTCTCCAACTACTTTCAGCTTTGTTGACTGCAACATGCTTCTCTCTCTTGCACTGGTTCCACAACCTGTCTGTTTCAATGCTTGGCATGTATCCCATGACACTGGCATCTCCAACATCTTGGAGTCTTTAATGCAACACAAGCTTCACCTCCATGGCTTCATAAAATGGCCTCTCTAGGTTTCTATGTAGGCACACCCCTGACACATGTCTGGCCTCAGTGTCATATTTTAGCCACAGAGGGAGATTTCAATCCCCTCTCTTGTATCCTTGGTTCTAAAGACAGAACCACATGGCTGAAATTTCAAAGTTCTGCTGATTGCTAGGTTTGGAACTTACTCTCTTGTTGAGTTATATATGCAACAACTCCTGTTGTTCATTATAAAGACTTATACTAAGTTCAGCATATCCCAGGCACCTCATTTCCACTCAGCTGACATTTCTCCATGCATTGTGACTTCACAACACAGAGAAATACATTATGGGCCACTATACTGATTCCTAACATGACCCTATATGCATGTATGTTCCATTGAAATGAACCTTAAGAGTATCTTTCAGTGGGTAAGGTTTATATGATTAAATTTTAATCTCCAACCACTTTTCAAGTTTACCACAAAACCATTTAAACAAAACACAATCTAGTGTATAAATGCCCAGAACATTGTTAAATGTGAATTATGTGCAAGTGATCAAAGAACAATCTAAAATATATTTCTATCTGAATCCATATTGATGGTGCATTAGTTTTAAAAATGTCAATAAGGGGCTAGAGAGATAGCACAGTTTTTAAGAGAATTTCTATTCTTCCAGGGGACTTTCACTCACTATCCAGCACTCACAGGGCAATTCACAACTCTAGTCCAAGTCTCTTATGTCCTCTTATGACCTCTGTGGCCACATGATACACACACATACATGACAGCAAAACATTCACAAATAAAATCTCTCTCTCTCTCTCTCTCTCTCTATATATATATATATATATCTATATATATATATACAAATATATATATACATATATATATATTTATATATAGAGAGAGTGTATTTAATACTTTAAAGCAATAATAATGTCACTAATGTTTGAAAAG